AGATAGATAGATAGATAGATAGATAGATAGATAGATAGATAGATAGATAGATAGATAGATAGATATCACCTCTATGGCTGAATAAAAAGTATTAGTTAAGTCAATATAATTGACTCAAAAGCAGATTTTTTGCACTATACTTCAAAGCAATTGCCTATTTATATAACTAAATACATTTCTAATTCCAAACAACATTCAATACTTTAACTTATGATTTATATTTATGGATATGCCCAGAAACCTTTCTTGCAATGGCCACCACAGTGCAGAAAGTTCTTTAGATTTTTAGGTATGACATGAATCAATGGGTGCAAATTCTACCTATATTAGAATTTTCACCAGACAAGTGACATGTGAATGGAAATCTTTAAAAGAGGAGGTAGGAGGCAACTTGTTGTACCACCCCACATCTTGGGAATTAGCTTTTCTAATCCAAACCCCTTCCAATATATGTATCGATGTACTGCTTGCACCTTGTATATAAATATGACCCGATGTACCTTTGATTTGTGCATAATAAACTAAGACTCTCTCTCTCTCCCCAAAATTGGATCAATGTGATTCATCCCTGACTTCGCAAATCTCTATGTACTTCCTTGAGAACAAGTGCTGCCGAACACAGTGAGGCACATATCTGAGCAAATATCTATTGGATGAAGAGAGCAGTAAAGGCCCTAGCATTTTGTGTGGTGAATTTCCCCTTCTGCTCATAAAGGAGACATTCTGTTCATGATTAACTACGTTAATATACATATCAATGATATAATGGACTTTCCCCCATGGGACAATTGTAATAAGGAAACAGATTGAATATTCAAAGTATATTAAAGTTTTGCAACATGAGAAGATCATTTATGACTACTGCAAGCTATGAAAATTCAACCCTATGTTAATGCAATTCTATCTTGTCATTTCTCTCGCCTCATGACAAAGCTACCTGAAATTATTAACATCTGCATTTTTTTGGTAAAAATATAATGAGGTCATTTTTGCTTCTTAAATGTATGATAAGACAATATTCAATTCTCACAGGTGACTGAAATCTGTCAAGCATAAATCATAATTCTATTTAATTATTTGTTAGTCCTAAGGAGGAAAAAAACATGTACCTAGATTTGGGCATCATTAAGAACACTAAATCTTGGCCAAGAGAGTATCACTAAAATCAGTCAATAGAACCACTACCCAAGTTCTCATTTTAGTTCATTAGCATGAAATTTTAATGATGTAAACAAGAACATACATAAAAATATTCTGGAATAATATGCTACTACTGTTACAATGATCTCTGTTCTCTCCTCCATCCTTATGTGGTTAAAAGGTATCTGCAAACTGGGAAACCATAAAGACTTGCATAACTACAAACATTTCAGAGTTGTCCCCCTTAAGCAAAGAAAATCCCCTAATAAAAGCCTGGACATGATAGCACAGAATACTGTAACTATCTGGAGAAAACAGGAGAGCGGAATAAAATATCCTGAAGAAAAATGTGATTGATGGACTACAACTAATAACTTA